ACCAAAGTCCTAAGAACTTCTGTAGAGGAAAGGGCACTTTGGAACTCAAGTTCTAATGGCAGTTCTGCCAGGAGCTATATGCATGAAACTGAACAAGCCATTCTCTAAGCATCTGTAAAATGAAGTGGTCAGGCTGATGACGTTAAAAGGAACATTAGCATGTTAACATTCTGTCCTTCTTTAAATTCAACATATTAACAATAGTTTCCAAATGCATCCAAGTCAGGCAAGAGAATATCCTGAGGTAAGGAAAAGCCAAGTCTCCCCTAGTGCTTTCAACCTTTGTTTACAGATTTTGACAATAAAAATCATTTGAGGTTTGATCTTTCCACCCCCACATTTGGACAGGTTCTTTTATGTGGACAGCTTTATACTTAAGTGGACAGGTTTTTCACTTAAGTATCTTAATACCGAGGCAGTTCTACTCTGAGCAAGTTCTGAAGAATCCTGGAGATGATATCTATATTACTTTGATGAGAATAAGCAGCCCATATGGACTTCATTGGTCCTTAGAAACTGCTTCCCACACAGCTATTGTTCATCTAAATGAAAGATTCACAGCTCATGTGCTTTATTTCCCTGTGGAAAGTAGGCTATTCGGGCAGGAGAAGGCAACATACAAGAAGTACTGTTATCATTACTGTTTTCTGCTTCATCATACTTAGGGACTATAATGCAAAGAATAAAAAAGACGCATGAGTAGACTGACAGGACGGGTCAGTTCTGAAGACAGTCATACGCTCCAATAAAAATTAAAAATAAATTAAAAAAATAAAGACAGTCACAGTTTCAGACCCACCACCAGTGAATCCAACAAGTATATTCAATACAACTGTGCATTTACAAATCTCACAGGGCTAGAAAGAATTCATGACCTTCCTTGCCTGTGTAAACTCAAAAAAAGGTGTTTCTGGGGAACATAGACTTTCCCTTCATACCCATATATTTCATAGACCTTTCTCTCATATTAACTAGGTTTTAGATATTACCTACAGGATCTCTAAAACCCTTACTATATGTACTTTTGTGGCCAGGGGCTTAGAGAGCCAAAATCTTGTCAAGGAACCAATTGGACAGAAAGGAAACTCAACATGCATTTGATCAGCATCATGAATTATCTTATTAAACCAACCCAGGGTATGAATGATGGCAGGTCCAAAGAAGAATTAAAATCACCCACCTCTTCCCTATAGCTGAGAAGGGCCACAAAGGACCTAACTGATTATGAGGTTAGAAATTATGTTTTCAAGTTCCCATCTGGAGGCATGTTTGTTTCTTGCTGTGTGAGTTTGCTCCTGAGTTCTTCAATGGTCTGTTTTGAAAGGGTGAGACTGACTGAAACAAATGCCTCTGTCTTCAGGACTTAAAAAAAAAAATCATTGAAAACAATGTAGGGATATAAATGTCTGTGCCCACAGCCAAGATAAAAAATGCAAAGTCTGGGCCACCTTGCCTTTAATTTTCTAACTGCTGTTTTGTAAGGCTGTGTCATGCTTCTCAGTTCAAACACGCTTTGGCTCTTTATTATTCATGGACCTTTTTCCCAGTCAGTGGTGTTGAATAATAAAACAGCCCAGGATCAAATGGGCCAATTCTCCACGCCTGACACCAACTGCTACTGTTCGCTGGGCTCTGCCAAGCGTTGCCTCTGATAATGAGTGGGATTTGGTTAAACAGTAAATTAATGAATAATGAAATATCCAGGTTGATCAGTTAGAGAGCATGCTTGCTTTGCCCTGGGCTAAACGCTTGGGGCAGAAATTACTCTCAAACGGCACTTGCCTGGCTGCTGGTCTGGATAACTATTTTACAGCCTATTGCTTGACAGAATGCAGGGGAGGGGGAACCAGTGGGGGAGAGGAAAGGAAGAAGGACAGAGTTATTAAGAGCAAAAGAAAAAAGAGAGAGAGGAAGAATAACCTAGTTATCACCTTGTAGGTTTCTAAACTGCATGTGTGAGAACAAAGTCACAAATATGATTTGGAGAAGTCTGAGTTCCAAAATTCCCAACACATGTTTAACATCAAGGAGAAATGATGAATGAAAACAGTCTTCTGTGTGTGCCTGTGCACACATGAGATTAAACACAGAATGATTCCGCTGAAGATGCATGTTCCTGTGTACATGTCAGAGTGAGGACATGCAGAGAAGGCGCTCAGGCTCTACTTGACAAAAACACTCTACCCTTATTTTAAGGTTTCATGCTCTGATTCTTAGATGAACCCCCTTGTACGAATTTTAGGATACTAAAAATAGGACTTTTCCAAAGAACTCCCTTAGGAAAAAAGTTTCACTTCAACTGAGCTTTCATATCTGTATGTGTGTAGTTTATCACTTTTCAACTTTAACTTCACCCAGGAGTCTTAAATTATTATGTAGTTTTATGCATGCATTAGTAATAGGTTTTTCTCATTCAAGATCAGCTACTTGTCCTTTATAAGAAACAAACTTTGGATCATGAAAAACCCACAGCAGAGTGCCACGAGGACACCATGGACTGAGAAAATGTGTGATTTCACTAGACATTTGTTCTGGAGATAACTTTCTCTAATTGTCATCTCTGGAATATCTTACTCTTTCAGAACTTGAGCCCCTTTCAAATGGCCTCAAGGTGGGTGGACTTTCAAGTTTTACGCAGTAGAAGCTGAAATATTATTCAGTAAACTGATTAACATGTGGTGGGTGTTGGTGCTTTGTCAAGTCGTTTGGGTTGGGCTTGGATTTAGCTTGTTCTTAGGCGCAAGAGAGAGAAGGGCCTTCACAAGAGTAGGGGGGAAGTGAGGATGCATTCAGGAAGCTCATTAACTCATTAACCATCGTCAGTGCTGGAAGCAAACTCAGAGCAAGGCTAGGGAGAGAGAGGTGGACATCGTCTTCTTCTGGTGCATAGGTGACAAATGATGGGACTGAAGAAAAGACTGCCTCCAGCCCCATCAAGAAAGGAGCAATATGAACTACCTATAGCTTCAGTGTACATCATTACTACACTCAACTTCTCAGGGTCTACAAAGCAGCAAGGCCGAGTGACCGCTGCTTCCCTAGTTTCATCCCTAGAGCAGCATCATGAGCAAAGTTTTTACCTCTCTGCACCAACACCCAAACCCCTCTCCTTCAAGAAAAAATAAAATGCTCTAATTGTCTTTATTACTTTCAGACACTGGCCACCAAACACAGATGTTCACTATTGAGAATTAAAGGAAGGGTAAAGGTCACAGGGACTCAGATCAACTTGATCCCTCTTTGGATTATTTGACCCCATTGTCTGAAATGGCCCTTATCTTTGAAGAAGAAAAGAATATTTAGATTGCACATAAAGACAAATGAAATCATTCAGTGAGTCTATTTTGTTGATATGGCTCAGGCCCGTGCTCTCCTTTCTTCCTAAAAACAGCAAAAAGGAAAATGTGTGAAAACAACCCAAACCAGAGTCAACTGTGCTTCTGCCTCAAATCTTGGTAGTTTTCCTATCTTTATGAATCTCTGGCCAAAAGGAGTCTCTTGAAAGTCCCTAAAACCTAAAAAACAAAAGCAAACAAAAACTACCAAAAAAAAAAACAAAACACCCTTTTTTAGGTTAACTCATGGGACTCCTGTGCAAAGGTAAATTCACATTGGTAAATGCTGTTTCGTTGTGACTGTTTTTGTAGTCCTACTATTAGGGGAATTTCCATATTGTAATATGTGTATGGGGCAGTAGGGTGTGTGTGTGTGTGTGTGCGTGTGTGTGTCTGTGTGTGCGTGTGTGTGTGTGTGTAACTACAACCCTCCACCCCCAGGTCTCACATGTCGTTTCTAGTAGAATTATTTATAAATTAAAATAATGTATACAGAAAATTCAAACTGGTCCAAGATTGATACTTTGTTCTCAAAATTAGCACTACCACCTTTTGACACAGCGGCGGTAAAGAGGATGTTGGCTAGTGGAGCACCAAGATTTGGTTTTACACTTGTTTTCTTCACATTGACTGGCATTTTCTGTCATTCTGTTCAACCTCTCTCCCCTCCCGCCCAACCCTACATGGGTGGTCAGTTTAGCAGTAAACTCCACTGCTGTGTAGAAGCTATCTAGAATCCTATTTCTTTCGACACTCAGATTATAGTCGCACTCCCTTCGCCCACCTGAACAGCCACCAGCCCTTCCGGCTCACCAGGTTTCTCCAAGCTGCCTGGCCTCATCTGGCACTTGTGGACACCAGGTTCTAGCATTCAAGACCTGACGGTTCACACGGGGAGTGCTAGAATTCATTGGGTTGACTCAATCCGATCCTCCACCTCATTCTATGTAGTGTCTGATTTGTGTCCGAGTTTTTCCCCCAAAGTCTTGCATGTACTCCTTCCACATCCCCATACCCCACTGCTCATGCGCCGGCTTCTTTTCTCCAGTCATTTGATAAAAGTCTGTACAGGAAGGGACATGTGACTGTTACAGAAGGCAGACTCTGATTTCCCCAGAATATTCTACGCATACACGCCATGGTCGTGCCCTCCTTCCAGTAAAACGTGTGGGCTAATGACATCTGACAGCCACATCCTTTAAACGTTTGCAAATACGTCCGCGAAAAGGCACGTTTCCGACGTTAACTGGTGGTCCAGTCACAGATGACTGCCAAGGCTGCCCTCCATGTGGCCCGGGCAAGTCACGCTTTGCCAAGTCCATTGGCTATTATGCGGCTTTTAAAAAAAAAAATTGTGAGAGCATTTTTATGCAGAGGCCTCTCCTGGCAGCAAGTGTGACCCCTATTTGGGTCTGGACGCCTCTGGCTCGAGTCAGCTCCAGAAGGCAGCAGCCCTTCTGAGAGAAGAGAAAAAGCAAAAAGCAGCACGGTGGGGAGGAACAAATAGGTTCAGAACAAGAAGGCCAGAAATCGCGGCCTGATCTTGCTAGGTTGGAACCAGCCTAAAATGTGTTGAACTTGTGTGACAAAACGGCTCCCTCAATCTCAGCATAAATAGCCTGAAAAAATAAAAAAGGGTTGCCAACACTGTGGCCGTTCGCGAACTTAACCCCAAGGGCGCGCAGCAGAAAGCCTGACGGACAGACTGCGCCCTGGGCAATAGTCGGGCCACGAGATACGCCCGCTGGGGGGAGGGCCGCGGCGCGTGCGTGCGTGCGCGTGCGTAGGCGTCCGCGCGTGCGTGCTCGTTGACGCTCGGCCCTGGCACTGGGAGAGCGTGCCTAGACGCGGACCACGGCGCCGCGTGCTTGCGCTTAACTTGGGCAGCGGCGGCGCAGGCGCGGTACTTGCACACGCTGACTGGGCCCGGGGTGTGAATATCCGAGCGCGGGCACCCAGTTTCCGCATTGCTGTCCGCGGCTGCGTCCTGGAAATGTGGGATAAAGGCGGTGGGAGAGCGCCGGCCTGTGACCTGGGGGAGGGGCACGGAGGGACCCGAGCCAAGAAAGTGGACCTGGGGAGACGATTGACTGACCTCCTCCTCTGGAAGCGCTGAGATTATTTATGAGGCCTGATTTAAAAGTAGTGGCTGCCAGGGAAGTGAAAAAGGAGCTCACCCCAAGCTATAAGAGAAGTTATAGTCTCGAGAATGCTGTTTATGACAGTATAAATCAATGTGGAGCTTGTGATGGGAAATATGGAGAACGTGAGTTTGGGATAGACTCAAGGAAACAAAGTCAAGAAGGCAAAATGAGTTTTCTCCTTCCTTGTTCTGCCCCCGCGCAATTCCTTTCCAAGGAGCCCAGGATTCTTGCCGGGAAGCTGAGGCGGGGAGATCCCACTCCTTGGCGAAATGTCTTCCCCAAGCTGAAACGAGGCTCGTTGGAGGGCGAGGGAATACATGTAAATAAACAACGTAGAAGATTTATGGGAAGGCGTTCAATTTTATAGGACTGTATTTATAGAGCCAGCGCTTGCTCACTTATAAATAGATTAATGGGAAGCCAAAATTAATGGACTTGTGAGCCGCACGTTTAATTTCTGAGGCTTCGACATGACAGGTAACCGCCTTCGAAGTCCAGGCGTGGAAGGCAGCCTTCCTTGGGAGTCATGAGCGCCCTTAAGAAGATTACACGTCACACACACACACACACACACACACACACACACACACACACACCCCACCCCCACCCGCCATGGGACTTTTATTTGCAAAAGAAGAAAAAGAACGTGGCCGCATAAAAAAATAATCGGTTCTTCTTCCTCCTAGCATTATTTTTAATGGCCCATAAGCCGCTAATGCGGGCGGGGGAGCAGGCCGACTTCTGGGGCGCTGGAAGCCTCGCACCCGGGCTGGTTGTCTCCAGGCAGGCAGGGGCGGCAGAGATACCTCCTTCAAGGTTACCCAGGCCCCCCGCAGGGCCTGGTAAACACCAGTTTCCCGTCTTTCCTTACTACTTCCGCGGCCTGGTTAAGGCAGTAACAAAAGCACCGGCGGAGGAGCTGTAACTAGCAGCCCAGGGCCATTTTTGTTAGGCAAGGCTCTTTGGCTACCTACCTCTTTCCTTCCCTTTCTTCCAGTTCTTTCCACACATTCAGGCCCCTCAGGACCTTGAGTTTTGCCTAGTAAAGGTGACTGTCTTTTGGTGGTGGGAAGAGAGGATGATTTGGAATTTACCTATGGAATAATAGATGGCTGGTCGGTTTCTCCAGAGCTGGAGAAACCCTTCAGTAGAAACCCTTCAGTAGGTAAGTTTGCGGTAGGATATGGAAATTACTCATCACTGCCTTTGTCTAATCCCAGTGGTAACCAACCCTTCGCTGGCCAAGAAAGCAAAAGAAAACAAAACTCAATACATTTGAGCCAGAGACAAAGGCATATACCTAATTTCTTTCTAGATAAATGCACTGCAGGCCCTCCTAATCACTTGTTTTTTTTTAATTCCTTCTATTTTCCTTCTCTTTCTTGATTCAGGCATTTATAGTTCTAGCCATGATAATCCCCCTTTTTTAATTAGTAAGGAAGCCAAGAAGTGGAAAATCTCACAGAAAGCAGATTCCATTGTCCCTTCTGTCTTTCCCTATAGGGAAGTCCAAGTGGGATTGAGTCACCTGAAAAACAGAAAATTGATATAGAAGGCATATTATTAATTACCTTAGTATTAATTACCCAAGTACCAACTATATGTGAAGCACTCTCCTAATCTGGGTTTACCAGTTATCTAGATTTAACTTTGCTAGTTATCCTTAAATATATATACATGTTGCTGTTCTTGCTTTTTATAATTAAACCTAGACAATGTTGGAAAGGAACTTTACAAATAAAGACTTTGAGGTCCAGAGAGAAACAGTGACTGGTCCAAAGTGTGCAACAGCTTGGACAAATTTACTTTCCTAGCCTCAGGGAAGACACCAAGCCTTGGGATGAAATACAGATTGAGAAGATGTTTGATTACTGCAGCCCATTAGGGTTGGGCTGTAGCCCATTAACCCAAATGAGAAATGCTCTGGCTTCTCGGGGCATCCTCTGATCCTAAGGTAGGAAGCCTGTTTTCCTCCTCTAGTCAAGGGAGCTTTTCCTCATTTGTTTACAGAGGGCCTTGTACTGCTGGTGAGGTCAGGGTGGGGTTCAGTCCTGAAATGAGCCAGTTAACTCCTCCAGATCCCAAGGTGTAAGGCACAGGGGCCCTGGTCTGGTGGGCTACTCTCTTGCACCATCTCCTTCAAAGAACATCATGCCAGAATGCCATCTCACTAGCAACAAGAGGGGAGCACCTTCTTTAACTTGGACCCAGAGATCCATAGTGCCTGGGACACAGAGTCTTTTAGTTATCTAGGAAGTAAGTAATTTGACAACCTCATTTTTTAAAAGGGCAGAATAAGCCAAGAGATGCAACTAACATGAGCTTTTATTCCAAATTCAGTGAGAAACAGGAGAGAATAGTGTCAATTTGGAATTTTAAAAAGTCAAAAACATCTTCTAGTGAAAACAAAAGTGTCCCATTTTTCTGAGAAGCAAAATTTATTGTATTTATTGTAAGGAAAACACTGCCTGTGTTTATATGATGGAGTGGGGGACAAAAAGGAAACCTCCTTGGCTGTACTGTTTCTGTCTGTAGAATTAAACAGTATGTTCAAGAAACTGAAGATGAAAACACAACAAAAACACAACAATCTTTTTATTTATGTAAATCAGATCAACACTGGACAATAAACCAATTTCTACCCATTACCATAACAGCTTGTCTATAAAGAACAGAAAAATTCAGAGAGGATTCTACCTAGGGTCAAGCGGTTTTTTTTTTTTTTCTTTTTACCACCCATTCACAGAGGTATAGATTCACAGATAAATAATCCCAAACTACTTGCTCGCCATATTTACACATTCCCATTAAATTAAGCATAAATAAATATATACAAACTTAACATGGATACCCTCCAGAGCTCTTCTCCTGAAGAGTCAATAGATTGATATTTCTCGATTGTGTGTCAAAAACAATGTTAGAGACCAACTCAACAGAGGAGTCGATTTTGGCATTTCAAGAATAGTGTTCATTCTACTTTTTAAAAGAAAACAAAACGAATTTTGTTATTTATTTTTTTTAACCCTATAATTTAACATACATCGGCACAGGAGGGGAAACACTGTTTGGGCTCTTGAGGCAACATCAGATGGTTTAAGGTTATTTCCTTTCCACATAATGTATTATGCATACAGAATATCAGATGTGATGACAAGTTGTCTATAAACACGCTAAGTAGGAATGAGTTGCCCTTTTAGGTAAGGCTTTGTACCAGAAGAACAGCGTGTAGATAAGTTGGGGGTTTCAGGTTTTCCATTCGAACAAAATTTTCATAGGATCTAAAATAATTGCTTGAGAGAAAGTGGTTTCCTTGGCCAAAGAAAATAAAACAGCCATGTCTTCGAAACTTTGAAAGTGGAGAAAGCTAAGGATGCGGTGCCAGAAAGAAGGAAAGAAAATGCAAGCTAACTGCGAGGGAGCAAGTTACCTTCCCAGTTTGGGAGAGAAGTTAATGATCACTTGGATGATGAAATCCTCACCTAGAACAGCCCTTCTTTTCTCTTTCTCCCAGGAGAGCCACCATACATATAAGAGGAGGCAGGATTGGACAGAGGCTGGTCAGACCTTTGGAACCTCCGAAGGAACGTACAGAGTGGGAAGTGAGAAGGCAGCGCTGCCATATTCTGACTCTTCCTTCCTACCTTTTAGCTCTTACTTTGGGACGGGGCACTTAAGAGGTTTGGATACAGTGTCTTAACAGGGTAGGGGTGCAGGGGAGAGCTGCGACTCACCTGTTTAGTTTGAAAACAAGGCTCAAAGGGGCTTGTTTTAAACGTTTTCCTTGACTTAAAAGGCAAACTCTTGCGTTAATCCCACTGTTTATTGATTTATGGGCCCAAGGAAACCAAATCTTTTAATAACTCAATTATCAGATAAACGTAGCGGGCCTAACGAAAGCAAGGGGGAGGGAGTCATACATGAAAGGAGAAATAAGGGAGGGAAAGGGGGCAGCGGGCTCTATCCACGTGTGTGGGGGTGTGTTGGGAGGTTGCAGGGAAGGTATGCCAAGGGCTCTGTTCAGCCCGGGCGGGAGGAACGCTCACAGAGAGGGGCGAAGGGCGACGGTGGAGGCTGCGCAGCCCAGTAAGACAATTCCTACCCAAGACCCGCCTTTAGGAGCCTGAGGGTGGAGAGTTTTCGTCCTGGCAAAGGCAGGGGAAGCTTCCAATCCCCTGGACATTTCTAGGCCACTCGCCCTCGGGGAGCAGGCGCCCCAAGCGGCCGCTGGCAGCTAGGGGCTCGGGCAGCACTGAGACCCCTCTAGCCTGCAGCTCGCGGGGCGCCGCCCCATTACCTACAGGAGCACCGGGCTTTCTCGGTCGCCTTAGCCCTTAGGGTGAGACCGAGAGCGGGAAGGGCCCGCGCGGCCCGCGGCCCCTCCAGCGGCTGATTCTATGTCCTCAACACGACTGGGCGCGAGTGGCCCCCACGCTCTCGGGACCTGCACAGTAAGAGCAAGGCGCATCCATCGCGTCTCTCGCACGTCACACGCGTGGGGCGCGTTGCCCTGCAAGGAAAGGAGACGATGGTTTTCAGTGCGGTTTCTCCTTTCTGCCTTTGGCAATCAGAATACGTCTTATGCAAGCGGCCAGGCCTTCGGACAAAGGCGCAGGCTTCTAAGCTAGGAAGAGATGGTCCATCTACACGCTCCCGGCCTTTATACTCTTATCAACTCATCTATGGCTGGCCCTGCACATCCAGAGGTCCTCAAAGGAGCTGACAGTGGATGGGCTGGGGTCTGACATCAACCGTTGCTTGGGCCCTCCTGAGGACCTGAAACCAGGTCCCTAACTCCCTCCCCCATAAAAATATCAGCACAAAACT